GTATCTTTCTCATTCAGCTAATGCTTAACAAGAGTCTGTGCCAGGAACTATGTTCGGCACTGGCTGTTTGGTCATAGACATGGAGATACAGTGCAGAGACATAAGTTTTTTCCTATCGCAAAGCAAGGAAGGGTAAAAAGGACTATCAGTGTGTATAGGCCTGTCAGTGTCTATTGCAAGGGGATTTATAATTAGGCAGGTTTACAAGATCAGAGACAAGATCCACAGTGCTCAGTCTAAGAAGCCGGAAGTTGCAAATCAAGAGAAATCAAGGATACAGCACCTGCGTGATACTGAAGGCCTAGAAGCTCCCTGTAGTTACCAATATGAATATTGAAAGTCTAAAGAAACTGGAGTTTGCTATCCACGGGTGCTAGCAGTAGCAAAAGACATATCGCAACTGGGAGTGGTGGCACTCATCTGTAATCCCAGAACTCGGAGAGGCTTCATACTTGAAGATTACAAGTATGAGCCAAGCCTAAGCTACTTATTAGTCAGATCCTGTCTTGAAATGAAAAAATAAAAAGGCTGAGGATGTAGCTCATGGTGAAGGCCCTGTGTTCAATCCCCAGTACACACCCGTACCCCTCACTGCCCTCAAAAAGGACACACCCACCCAAGAAGAGTGGAACTTTTCAAATCCTGCACTGATTTCCTCTTTCCTTTTTATCCCCCCCAGACTACATGTCTATTGAATTGCGCTACTCATAATCAGGGTAATTTTCTCCCTTAGTTTGCTGATAAACCTGGAAACTCCCACAGACTACCTAGAATTGTGTTTTACCAGTCTGCTAAGTCTTTCTTAACTCAGTCAACAAATCGCAATGAAAGGTCACATTCCGAGGGTTACAAATTAAATTTTTATCTACATCACGAAATAAGCTACTTGAAAGAGTGTTTGCTGTTTATGGCATTTATACTGAGACCTAAAAGATAAGGAGCCATCTTGGTGATGATGGTGGTAGCAGTGGGACAGGAAATAAGGAGAACGAAGTGTTCTAGATAGAAGAAGCAGAAAGTGATGGACTTGTCAGGCATGAATAACAGAGGTCTGTTTGCTCTAGACATGAAAAATGAAGCAGAGAGGAGCAAAGATGAGCTTGGAAACATAGATCCTGGAGGAAAATATGCGAGCCTAAGGAGTTTCTATTATGTTTTTATAGTACCAGGGGTTGAACATAGGACTGCACGGAACTACATCCCCACCCTTATGAAAAATTTTGAGTCTTAACTAAATCTCCAGGCTGACCTCTAACTGGACATCCATTTGGGATTATAAACATGTACCACTGCATCTTGCTGAGCCTAAAGCTTTTGATATTACAATGGAAAGCCATTAAAAAAGGGTTAGTAAGCTAAAAGCATGTTATCTGTGCCTCAAGACATATCCTATACCCAGAACAGTAGGTTGCCAACATGGAATTTCAAGATACAGATTTCATATGAAACTCTAGGTTTCCAGCTTCTCTTTCAAAAAGCCAATGAGTTCTCCAGACTATTCGAACTGTGTGGAGCTTGTAGGGAACAAAGGAGGTAGAGGGGATGGGAGTTAAAAATATTTTCAAGAGAGTGATTATAAGGTTACCTCGTGGAGTCTGAGCTAAAAAGATGGGCCTGAAGTCTGAGGAGCGCTGTTGATCGAGTGGACTGGCATCTCAGTGATCTCAAGGCATTGATGTTAGGAGAAGCATTTTCACAGGTGAGCCAGGAAAGTGAAGGTTGTGGTGGAAGAGTGGGCTACTGGGGGGGCTGGGGATTTAGCTCAGTGGCATAAGCGCCTGCCTTGCAAGCACATGGTCATGAGTTTGATCCCTGGTACCAATAAAAAAAAAAGTAAATAAAAAAGAGTGGGCTACTGGGTCAGATGGGAATGACTGGCTGAAGTGGTGGAAGACATACATGAGACAAACAAGAGACCAGAATAATGACAAGAGGAGTGCTGGCATTGTAGCCCAGTGGTAGAGTCCTTGCCTAGCATGCACAAAGCCTGGGGGTCAATTTCCAGCCTGTTTTTTTTTTAAATGACAATGGTGGGAATTGAGATGATGAAAAAGCCTTTAATTCAGATATAAAATCATTATGAATGAATGAGGGGGAGTGACCAGGAGGTCGTTCCTGGCAGTACTGAAGTGGGTAAGAAGGAGATAATAACTTGGAGTACAAGGAACTTACGACTTCATCCCCCGGTCCTGAACTATGTGACTATGTGAAAAAAACAGAATGACTGTCTAACAAAAACTGGGAACCAAGACTAGAAAACTGGATGAGTTTGTTCTGTGGTGCTGGGGACCCAATTCAGGGCCTTGTGCAATGAAGGAAAGTACTTTACCACTGAGCTATATACCACAAGGCCAATTTCTCTCTTTCTCCTTCTTGCCTTTTTTCTTCATTCCTTGCTGTGATTTTGGGGCCATTCACATTAATATTGTCAACTATTTTTTTAAAGAAAAATTCAATTACATCCAAAGCTCCTACGAAAGTATATTACATTCATGGGAAATTAAAGGACAGATAATGAATTTAAGTGGTTTTTTTGTATATACCTTTTTTACTGAGGTCACATGTGTGATTGTATCTAGTGAGTCCTCAGGAATCACCAGCAACAAAAGGAACAAGGTTCTTTGATGGCTCTAACTACACTTGTGGCACCAGTGGTTATGAGATGATGCTAAAATATTGTTGAAGGACATTTAAAGAAATCTGGGGGGCTGGGGATTTAGCTCAGTGGCATAAGCACCTGCCTTGCAAGCAGGCGGTCGTGAGTTTGATCCCCGGTACTGATAAAAAAAGAAAAAAAAAAAAATCTGGAGGAGTTAGAGATGTCTAGATGGCTGATATCTGGAGTATAGAAAAAAACATTGGGATGAGAAGTAGTGAGAATGGATTACTTCAAGTAATGGGACAAGAAGAGTGGTAACAGAAAGGAAGTTTAGAAGCTAGGTGTGTGGTGCATTCGTGTAATCCCAGTCTCTGGGAGGCTGAAGCAGCGGGTAGGATTCAGGACACCAGATAAAAGCTTTAGGGAGGAAGCTTGCCTCCCTGGTAAGCAGCGGCGGTGTGGCAGACTACAGCCCCTCCAGGGGGAGAACCACCAGTGTTTTCTGAGATCCACACCATGGGGGAACTTAACAAAGCTGGGAAACCAAGCAACCAGCCTGCCTCCCTGCTAAGCAACAGTGAGACTACTGGTGCACAGCCTAGAGTCAAACATCCCACTTCCCCTACTCCCCTTCTCCTGTTCCCGTTAGCAAATGGGAACCAGAAATCTCCTGGGAGGTTGACCATGGCAAATAATGGGGATTTCCTTCTACCATCTCTTTGAAGGCAAACATATTTATTACTGTTTTGCTCTATTCTGATTAATAGTATTGCTCTATTCAATATTGTTTTGGGAAGTTCTATAATGTTCTGTATTTCATTTTATTTTGATATACGTGGTTGAAAGAATAACTATTGTAAGGATAATGTGAAATATACTGTGATACCTATCACTGTTATTCTGGTAACCTGCTGTGAAGTTCTGAACCAATTTCACTTTACGATCTTTATTCTGTCTTGTTTTGTTGTATTTTACTACTTTCAAAATAAAATTTAAAAAAAGATACAAAAATATCACACACACACACAAAAAAGCTTTAGGGAAATGACTGCCCATAAAGAATTTCATTTTTCCATTTATTAAATTTATTCATCCTATGACATTTTAAAGGTTTGAAATAATGATTAAGATTTTAATTATAGTACATCTTTGTACTTGAAATATTCTCCAGTATCCATTTGTGTTCTATTCTGAGTGGACTTGTACAGGAAATTTTGTGATTTGTCAGATGGTTTGTATGACATGCAGTGCTGTGGTTAACTAAATCAAATGGCTAAGTCCAGCACAGCATCACCCTTCACCATTATTTGGTGGGTGACCTGGGGTACTGACTCAATTGTTGCATACTTCTTCTGGAAACTATGATCAATAATAGTGCCTATTTGATAAGGTGTGAGGATAAGGAAGCTAGTAAGTGAAAACCATTTAGAATAACCCTTGGCAGATAGTAAGCAAGACCTACGGTTAGCTATTGTTATTTACTTTTTAGGGGCTACAATACTAAGATAATATATCCCTTAAAGACACCACTCACTGCATGTGCTGTTACAACATATTCTACTTTGTCTTTTAAAGGTAATATTTTCACAAAAGAAACCTAACAGTATGCTTGTACAGTTCATCACTATGGTAATCATTATTATTATTTAAGATCATTAAAATTACTGAACTAAAAAATTTAGATTCTTGGCACTAAGCACATTTCAGCCATATGCTGCTGAACTGGACAGCGTGGAAATAGAACACTGTAAAATGTTTCATGAGAAAGAGTTCCAGCAGAGTGAAACCTCCTGCCCCTTTCTACTCCCAGTCCCTCTCAGGGGAAGTCATTATTTCAAGTTTCTGGGATAGTCTTTTATGGCGCGCGTGCGGGTGTGCGCATACACACACACCCCATCTATTTTCACACGAATGTTACATAATTTGCACCATTCTGCACCATCTTTGTCTCTTAAAATACATTAACTGTATTGATTCGCCTAAAGTTAGCACCATGTATATATATATTTTTTTTTTCGGTGCCGGGGACTGAACTCACAACCTCACGTTTGCCAAGCAGGCACTTATGCCGCTGAGCTAAATCCACGGCCTTAACTCCATATATTTAATCAGTTAGCAATTCAAGACTCAAAACGTGATATAGGCTTATAGAGCAACCCTGAAAACAATAAAGCACAATGCAAATACAGACACAAGGAATGAGCACATGGTTACATTTCGGAGCAGGTGGAGGAAATGAAGTACTTGAGTCTCCTTTCTGGGGCCGCAGTGGCGGGAACCACGGTAGTGCCCAGTTCTGAGCTCCCACACCCGCTCTGCCGAGGACTGCCGCGCGCGGGTGAGTGGGGAGCCGGCGCCGCGCAGAGTCGCGGACCAGCGGCCGCCCCAGCAGCGCGCCCCCTACCGCCCGCCTGGGACGCGGCGCGCGCTCGCGGGAAGACGCCAACATGGCGGGGCGGCCCGGGGGCTCCGCGTCGCAGTCCACCGTGCGGGACCGGGCGGCTCCCAATGTGGTGACGCGGGTCTCGCAGTGGGCGGACGATCACTTGCGCCTCGTCCAGGTGGGACGGGGGCCGAGAGGGACCCCTCCTGAGAGGCGGCGGCGGGGGCTGGGAGATGTCGCGCGGGGCGCGGGGCGGCGGGCCGAGGCGCTTCCCACAGCCGCGCGGAGCTCGAGGCTCGGCGGTGCGGTGGCCGAGAGCCGTGGGGACGGCCGCGCGGGGCCGGGGAGAGGCCCGAGGCCTTGGCTTCAGGGGTCCAGAGGCGGGGCCGCCGGTTCGAGCAGGAGGGACACGTGGTCCCAGCGTGCTGGCGACATGGAGTTGCCAGTGGGGTGGCGGCGGCGACGGCTGCTGATGGAGAGGGGTTGGAGGGAATGATTGGAAAACACCAGAGAGCTTTGAGAACGTGGAGGTGTGAGCTTGAAGATGACCGTTAATTAGGCTTCCAAGCAGAATAGAGAGAAGCTGTTTGAGACAGCTGGACAGATGCATAAATGCATAGTCTGGTGTTGAAGGGAAGTCAGAGCTGGACGCCTCATTTGGGGAGTCAGTGGCACAAACCATTAAGTCATGTTTAAAGCTCGGGACTTGAGCGGCCTCTCGGAGCAAGTGAGAAAAGTCACGGAAGAAGCCCTGGAACCGAGACCTATGAGCTTCTGACTTGGGGGAGTGAAAAGGAGCTGACCAGAGAACCCTAAAAGCTGAGTGTCCAAGAAGCCAAGTGAGAGTATGGCTTTGAGGGGAACGATTGGCTTTTAAAATTCCTCTGAGAAGTTGAGTAAGTTGAGCGTTGCAGCTCTGCAGCCAAGCAACACGGGTTCAAGGCCATGAGTGTTTACGCTTATCTTAGTAGCCCCACTCCTTGGAGTAGTACCTGCCCCTTAGAAAGTGCCAGATAAATATGTGTAGCGCGAGTGAATGGTAAACCTATAAACGTGTACATGTTCGTTGATCTGGCCTTTTTTCTTTCAATTCAGAAGTGGATGCCTGGGTTATTTGAAATTAAAAATTGCTATGCTGGCCATGGTGGCTCACACCTGTAAGCTCAGCATTTGGGAGGCTGAGGCAGGAGGATTGTTGCGAATTCGAGACCAGCCTGGGCTACAAAGTGAGCTCAAGGCCTGCCCGACCTGCATAGACCCTGTATAAAAAAAAAAAAGAAAGAAAGAAAAAAAAGAAATTAAAAATTGCTCTAAGATCTGGAGGTGTAGCTCAGTGGTAGTGTGCTTAGTCTGTACATGTGCCCGAGTTCAGTCTCCAGCCCCTTACCTCCAAAAAAATGCATAGAAAAACTGTGGGAGGGAGCATTGTCTATTTAGTATATGCAGATGTTATTTGAAATAACCACAGAACCCAAAGACTGTACCTAAGTGTCTGTTTTCAAACTCGTGTTTATTGATGGTGTTTTTAATGTGTTGGTGTTATTCTTAACTTTTCATTTAAGTCCTTATTCTTAAAGAAAGCAGTTTTAAAATATCGCTGTTTTCCCCATGCATTCACCCATATACATTTGCCAAGGTGCTTTAAGCCCTTAGTTTAAAGAAATCAATTTTAGAATATCACTGGCTTCTCCCCACTCATTCAGCCACATATATTGTCAAGGTGCTATATTTTAGCATTGTAGTATTACAGTTTTCTATCAAACTCTTGAATTTGCAACGTGGATGCGGGCACTGTTCAGGGAGTATTAGACCATTTGTGCATTCAAGAAGCTCATAGGTTGAAATAATATAATCAAATTACTGTGCATGCCAAACTGGGCAAGACCAAAAGAAGAGTAATGAGTATGTGGACGAAGTTTTGGGAAGAAGTGAGTCGTGATTTGAATGGTATCTCTTATTTATACTGTTAAAGATAGGGAAGAGAATCTCCCCCACTTCTAATTAATACTTCACCATCGTGAATGATAGTTACTGATAATAAACCATTAAATCTGTTTCTGTAGAACATCAGCACTGGGATGGCCATCGCTGGAATAATGTTATTTCTAAGAAGTGTTCGACTGGTGAGTTAAAAATGAAAAAGGCAATATGCAGTTCATTTATTCTAAAAAGATAGTTTTAAACTCAAGCAGTGTATCATTTTGTTATTCAAATGCAAAGCTTTTAAATAATATTTTAGAATAATATATTTTGAGATCTTGGCTTTAAAGTAACATCCACAGAAAATAATTACACAGGATGTATTTCCATAATCACTTTTTCATATTTAAAAATTAATGTGAAAAGGATTTAGCTTGTTAGAATGTTGTAATAATTAAATTTGCATTTCAGATATTGTGGAGTACCTCAAAAATGCCTTTTTATGGTGCTTTTAGATTGGGGTCATAGTTTAATTATGTCCCTTGACCCTGGGTTTATGCCTCAATTAATGGTGTTTTTTTTTGCTTCTTTCAATAATGTTTTAATAATAGAGGTACATTTTCACTTGTAAGACTTCTTGTAAGTCAAGAATTACAAGTGTTTTATTTTTCAGTTTTTTTATAGTGGTAAAGCACATATACCATAAAATTCACCATTTTAATCATTTGTAAGTGTACACAAAGGTCAGCAGTGTTAGATGTATTTCTCCTGTCCTTTCATGTCAGCATCCTCCATCTCTGGAACGCCATTGGTCTCTAAGGACTGAAACTGTACCTATTACACAGTAACTCCGTTTTCCTTCTCAGCTCCTGCCAGCCATTATCCCTTTTTCTGTATGATTTTGACTACTCTAGGTACTGGCTTATAAGTAGAGTCATATTTGTAAGTAATAGTATTATTTAAAATTCATTTCATAATTTCTTTTTTTCTTTTCCTCAAAGCTGTCCTTGTTTCTCTTTTTTTTCTTGTGTAACACATGGGATTGAACCCCAGACCTTTGCAGTGTTGGGATTCTCAGTTCTCTAGGAGACTAAAGCAGGAGGATTACAAGTTTGAGTCCAACCTGAGCAATTAGTGACTATCTCAAGATTAAAAAAATAGAAAAGAGATGAGAATGTAGCTTGGCATGAAGTCAGAAGTCATGCATTATAACCAACTGTGTATCTCATTAGTGTTTTATTTTTGTTTGTTTGGTTTTGGTACCAGGAATTAAACTCAGGACCTTGTGCTTCTTAGGCATACACTTGTGCCATTGAGCTATATGCCCTGGCCCTTTTCTATCTTAATGTAGAATATTATTTTCACTTTTCATCATGATACTGATATTCTTGAAAATCCAAGCTAGATGTCTTGAAGAGTATCTCATAATTTAGAATTGTCTATTTTCTTATTAAATTCATATAAACATTTTGGCTAAGAAGATGATATGGTATGTATCCTACTTAATTGTATTAAGATTCATGATGTCAATATGTCTTTTTTTTTTTAAACATTGGTGTTTATTATTGGCCATTAGATTTCTTTTCTTTTTTTTTTTTTGTTTTTTTTTCCTTTTTATCGTTACCGGGGATTGAACTCATGACTGCCTGCTTGCAAGGTAGGCACCTATGCCGCTGAGCTAAATCCCCAGCCCCAATATGTCTTATAATACTATCACACCTAAGAAAATTAACAATGATCACTTAGTATCATCCAAGACTCATTCCATATCCAGATTTTCTTGATTGTCACAGTGATGTCTTTAAATGGGTGATCTGTTCAAATCAGAGTTCCAGTGGTATGTATATTTGTTATATTTTTTACATGTCATTTATTCTTTTTTTTTTTGTCTTTTTCCCTTTTATCGGTACCAGGGATCGAACTCACGACTGCCTGCTTGCAAGGCAGGCGCTTATGCCGCTGAGCTAAATCCCCAGCCCTTTGTTTTGTTTTTTACAAAGTTTACTTGAAAATATAAAAGTGAAAGGTGAGGGAGAAACTGGCTCTACAGAGTGAGCTTGGACTGAGTAAAAAAAGAAAAAGTAAGATAAAAGTACACCCTGGAGGATGGAGGGCATGATATTGTGAGGAAACTCACAATAGTCTACGTTATTATTATTTTTTTAACATGTTCAGTTCAGCTTTATGCCTTAGGAAGTTAGGTACTAATTTATCCTTCTGCTATGTGAAATTTTTAACTATGATTATGAGTGACGTTTGTTGTACTGTTAATATAGAAGAAGTATACGTAAAGTATTGAGTAAACCACCTAAGTGTTACAAATTGAAGCAAATTCCTAATATTGACCCTTTCTTAAAAATTTTTCTTTTTTTCTTGTAAAAGATTACAAGGAAAGTGGGAAAAAATCTTACTGGTTGAGGATCTAATTTAATTTGTCTCAATTTGGTTTAGATCTTAGGTTTTATATAAATAGTAGCTTAAAATAGCAAAGTAATGAATAATGACTTTCTTCTATTGTTTTGTGAATGACTTCTAACTGTACCTAAAAACATTTTAGATTAAATAATATGAAAGTACTAATACAGGGGCTGGGGATTTAGCTCAGCGGCATAAGCGCCTGCCTTGCAAGCAGGCAGTTGTGAGTTCGATCCCTGGTACCGATAAAAAGGAAAAAGACAAAAAAAAAAAAAAAAAGTTCTAATACAAAATAACCAAATTAAAATTTTTCAATGACTTTTTTCTTATTTTGATTTTTGTTTTTATGTTTTGCAGTGCTAGCTAATAATAGAATTCAGGACCTAAGCACTACCACTGAGCTGCTTCCCCAGCCCAGTTATATCTTGTTAATATTTAGTTAACAATGTCATTTTTAATTCTAAATGAAAATAATGGCACAGGTTTATGTTTTTCTCCTTATAAATCTATAGACATCAAAATTTACAAGATCTGCAGATATTCCAGCAGAATTTATAAGAAAAAATGTTAAATTACGTGGTCGATTACACCGGATAACTGAGAATGGTTTCGAAATTGAACATATTCCTATTACTTTACCCATTATATCTTCATGGAGAAGTAAGTAAGATGCAAAAATAGTAAGACTGTTACTGTTATTATTGTTATATTCAATAACTTATTTATAAAATTGCAACAAATGGCATTTTAAATCCCTCCTTTGTCTGTGAGAGAAAGTCTGAATCCTTGCATACAAGGAACTGTTTAGTTTGGCTCCAGGGTTTCTTTCTTCCTTTCTGTCTCTTTTTAAATTCATCTAGTCAGTCTTTCCTTTCATGCATTCAATTGTTCATCACACAAATGTTGATTATCCTTTTTTTTTATATCCCTTTGCGATGAGGTCTTGCTATGTAAATCCTGTCCAAGCTGGCCTTGAACTCACCATTCTCCTGGCTCAGTCTCCTGAACCCTGGAACTATAGATGCATGCCACCATGCCAGAGTACAACTACCTGTTACAGTCCGTGTCTCAGTGATGGCGAACCTTTTAAAGCTTTCATTGTTATGAGCAGCCTGGTGTGGCGTGCTTGTCATGATTCACCTCTACTAGTAGGACTAAACTAATCTGTAGTGTTGAGTAGACAGATAAGTAAAATCTTGGTGGAGATAGAAAACAAGTGAAAAATTGCTCTAAGGCCTTTGAAGAAAATAGCAGTGCCCTGAAATAGAGAATTACTGGGGAATTTAGACAAGAGGAGGCAAATATGAGGTGTGATCAAATATACTGTGAATATTTAGGTTTATTATTATTGTTATATTAAAAGCCACATTGCTATTGATTCCCCTCAAAATTCTTCCCCTCATTTCGAACATGCACATCCTATTGTTCTTGCTGGTTTTTTTTTTTTTTTTTTTAGTCCTGGGGATTGAACTCACAACCTTGGCTTGTGCCACTGAGCTAAATCCCCAGCCCTGTTGTTGCCACTTTTTGAAGAAGTTCTGGAAGTCCTCTTATTCGTGTCTTTGTGAAGTGTGAAAAACGTGGTGAGTGCTTCTGCCAACTGTCATTTAATAGAAAGGCAGACTTATAAAAATAGTGTAGTGTGCTCCCGTCCACCTTATTCACCAGATCTGACACTGTAGAACTTACAGCTTTTTTGGAGAGTCAGAATGACCATGAAAGGTACGCGTTTTGAATCGATTCAGGACATTGAGGAAGGTACAACACTACACTAAAAAGACACTCATGAAAGAGGACTTCCGAAACTGCCTCAGAAAGTGGCAGGAGCAATGTGATAAGTATGTTTGATGCAAGAGGGAGTGCTTTGAGGGGAATTAATGGCAACATGTCTTTTATAGTAATAAATTAAAAAAATTAAATGACTCGTGTCTTTTCATGGTGCCCTATCCTGTGCCATAGGATGTATTTTTTCCTCCCTTTTTCCTGCTTTTACTCAGGTCACACTCATTTTTCAAAACCTGTATTATCCATTTATACAAAATGTAAAACTTGCCACCATTTAAAAACAGTACTGTTGATAATCAGTATTCACCACATTTTTTAAATCACATCCCCTAGAGAGTAGTCAGAGACGACCTTAGTAAGGAGTTACTACTCATTTGCAGTCCCAAAGAATTAGAACTAGATAGAAAGAACAGGTAGAAACAATACTTGTGAGCCTGCATTCACGAGGCTTGAGACAGAGGGACCTTTTGAGCCAGGGATTTAAAGGCTAGCCTGTGCAGTGAGGCAAGGCCCTATCTCCTAAAAGCAAATAAATAAATCAAATGAAATTCTGTCATTAAAGTTAAATTGTTTAAAATTTTATCAGGGTTTTGGGGAAAGAGACCTTCATACTATAATTATTGTGAATATAAATTGATAATCTTGTGTAGGAGTCATTTCACAAGATTTTTTAAAAGTAGTTTTTATTGTTTTATTGTGTATAAGAAAATAGTGTTATTTTTTATAAAAAGCAGTAATGATAGAATAATAAATTTTTGACAGAGGATATCCTCAATAAGTTAATACCTTCATTTAGGTGAAAAAGCAATTTCTATAGTTCTAGTACTAGTAACCTGTTACGAAACTATATGTATGTGTGGGAACAATTCTAGAAGGTTGAAAAAAGAAGGTTAAGTTGGTTAAATCTCTTTTCCTGTTCCAGAGATACGGGCTTTTGAAATTTCTCCCTCTGTTATATGTTTATATTGTTCTAAGAGAAATCTAGGCTATAGAAATAAATGAGGCCAGGTACGGTGCTGCATGCCTATAGTCCAGTACTCTGGGAGGCTGAGGTGGGAGGTTCACAAATTCAGCCCAGCCCGGGTAACCTACTAATGTAATGAAACCCTGCTCAAAATTAAAAAAAAAGAATAGGGATGCAGTAGCTCACTGGTGTGGCGTTCAATTCCCAGTATTGCTGCTGCCACCCAGAAAAGGAAGAAAAAGACAGCAGTAGACTTATGTTTAGAGAAGGAATATTTATCAGCAAGCATCCTGTGTTGGAGATTCTGGGGTGGTGGGGAAACAAATGGCTTTGGAATTTGCTTTTGCAACATGCTCATAAAGCTGACCTCTTGTCTGCCTGACCTTTTTAGAGGAACCATATGGTGTTTTGCTGGTTAAACTGGCTGGGGTAGAGCTCACTGAAAGTGGGAAGATATGGTTACAAAAAGAGCTCAAAGTTTCCCAACAAGTATGGTTCCAACTTCTTGGAAAGGAGAATTCAACACTCTTTTGCTACATTTTAGTGAATAAGGTGAGTAATGTGAAGAATTAACTAAATAATCTTTTTTCTTGTTTTACAACCCTTGTTTGAAGATGATATAATCTTTTATTTTTACATTTACATACAGTAATTAGAGCTTTAAATATAGGATGCTGAAGTTTTTATTTTTTTTTAAACTACTGCTAATAATGATTGTCAAGAACCAGGTGCTTTGTATATAAATTTTGTTACAAAATTTTAGTCATATATCTAATGTATGTTTACTGTAGAAGTTTGTGAAAAAGGAAAAGTCTTCTAGGTACTTATGACAGGGCATTGCTAATTGAAGGAATCTCTTTATACGTTTATATATGTGCAGGTGTAGTACATCATACTTGTTAGTAGAAACCACTCATGGAGTGAGGCTTGGCACCTGGAAACTATGAAGACAAGGGTGTTTTCTCTAGGTACAGTACTGGTCGGCCTGGCCTAGTGTGCTGTTGTGTCAAACAGTTCAAATTCAGCAACTGCAAAATTAGACAATAACTTTATATGATGTCTTAGGAGTTGCAATTCAAGACACACATGTTCAGATAGCTCTAAATCCAAAAGCAGCAGGGAAATGGTAACTTGTATTGAGCAACCTGTTGAAGGTAGTAAGTATTCTGTTTTAGGAAACTTCCGTTGGAGTTAAGAACAGGTGCTGTGTGCAGGGATTGTGTAACCCACAGAAGATTATAAAAAAAAAGTAAAGCTGGACACAGTGTAATCCCAGAAGTATGGGAAGCTGAGACAGGAGGCTCACAAGTTCAAGGCCAGCCTGGCAAACTCGAATATCTCAAAATAAAAAGGGCTGGGAATGTAGCTCAGTTTTAGAGGGCTATCCTTGGGCTTGATCCTCAGTACCATCAAAAAGAAGGAGGGGAGGAGGCATTCCGTAACCTCTCAATGTGTGCCTGAGTCTGGGCACGTGTCTTAAGGACCTGCCTGAAGTCAGGAGGTGACCAGTCACCTTGCCGCACCACAGCCGGGGTCACATCGTAGTCATGCTGCTGTTACTGCGTCCAGACCCCATTTTGAAGGGCTAATTTCCTGTTGTTTTTATCATAATTTTCTTCTATTTTCATAGTTGATGGAGATTTCATGGTGTGTAAGTCTTGTCAGTTGAGCATTTTAAAGTCCTGTTTCTGCTCAGGGGTCAGTCACCTGAAGAAACTTCCTCTGTGTTGTCACCTACCTGGTCAGTGGCCATGCCGTGTAAGTGGGAGGAAGTCTCACTGTTGCTGCCTCGCTCTCCCAAGTTCCCCATGTGCCTCCCTCCACTTTCTGTGACAAGGTCTTAGTTGTGAAGTTGCCCAAGGGGCCTTAACTTGCTGCTCATTTTGCTGGGATGAGCACCACCATGCCTGGCTGTGACTTCCTTTTTTTAAAATGCAAGCCAGGCATAGCGGTACACACCTATTATCCTAATACTCGGGAACCTGAGTCAGTAGGATCACTGCAAGTTTGAGGCCAGCCTGGGTTACATAGTGAATTCAAGGCCAGACCGAGCTATATAGCGAGACCCTGCCTCAAAAAACAAAAACAGGAAACAAAACCAAAAATGTAATATACGAATTATCTCTGGACTGATTTCTATGTTGAACTATGTATATTTGGGTGATTACTGAAATGGGAATGTACAAAATTGAAATGGTTAAAATACTGTGATAAGACTGAGACCAGTCTTTTTAGTTTTTTTTTTAAAGCCTCTATGTAACAGTGATCTGAAGGAAAAGAAACTCACATTAAAAGTATTAGTATTTTATTTTATTTATTTTCTTTTTTGTCTTTTTGAGACAGGATTTTACTATGTGCTTTAGGCTGGCGTTGAACTCATTTTGTAGCCCAGGCTGGCCTTGCACTTGTAGCAGTCCTTCTGCTTCAGCCTTCCAAGTGCTGGGATTATAGGTGTGCACCACTATGCCCATCATTTTAATTCTTTAAAACTTTGAATCATTAATAGGAGGACTAATGAAATCTATTAACTTTGGGAGGAGTTCAACTGGAAGTTGAACTCAGGACCTCATGCTTTCCAGGCAGGTGCTGTACCACTGAACTAAATCCCTGGCTCAAAGTCTACTAATTTTTGTATGTTGAGATCCTGTTCAACTTTTCAAAGTAAGGATAATCCAAAACTAATTGGCAGAAAGATTAAAATAATTTATCATACTAAGTTGCGCCAAACATCCTCAAACCCTTATAGAAAATATTTGGTTCTCCTTTAAGTTGAAGAGTAACAGTTATCAAAAAAGATGATTATAGCAATGAAGATACTATCTGCTGTGTGCCAGCCACTGAGCTAATTTCTATGCTTACATTTATCTGTTCTCAAAACCAGCCTGTGGAGTTTTATCCGTTCACAGGTGGTGCTGTTAGGAAAGGGAATTGCTTTGACTGGAGGAACCAAGTGGAGAGCCTGCGTTCAAGCCCAGCTCTCGCTGGCGTCCAAGCCCACCTTCAGCGTAGACATCTTTGCCTTATATCACTTCCTAAGTTACCATGCTGTGTGTGCTTACTTGTGAATACTTATTTCTCTTGTTTGAATTCAGTGAATGTATGGCATTGAAATTTTCATTCTGATTTTGGTTTAAGAGAAAGAGCATAAAATTTTAAGAATTGAGATTAAATATGATAAAGCTTTCATATCTGTTACCTTTTATAATTTTGTCATTGTATATCAAAAGTTACCAAATTTAGGAGAACACAGTTTGTTTACTTAAGAATCTTTTTAAAAGATTATTCTGTGCTTTCACATGATCTTAGAGAATGTTTCCTAGTTTAAACCTGGAATCTTCATGTTTTTAGAACTTAGCTGTGAATTATTGGCCTATACTATGAATTAGTGTATGTGGGGTGGGGGGATTCCATTTATCCATTTTCCTTAGGAAGTGAATTGCTCCTGGAGTGAAATTTCCAGATGGTGAAAATTGAAGAGCCAAGACTGTTTTTATGTTACTTGTTTTAAGGGAGGTCTTTTAGAAATATATTTGCCTGCCAGTGCCCTAGACACTAGAATTCTGAACCTGATTTTAACAGTTTATTTTGGGTTGTCTGTGTTTTTGTTTTTTTCTTTTTTTCCTTGTTTACTTTCCTTTGCTGTAGGCTACTACCTTTGTGCCAAAATTGTGTGCTTTGCTATCTCTGTAGACAACTACCAACAAACCAAAAAAGTGCTTTCTATGCATGTTGCTTCTGTGCATCTCTGAGGGTAGAGACCAAAGAGTCTGCACAGAATTCTGTGTCATGAAAGAATCAGTTGGCTCTGAGAAGGCTCTCTTGTAGTAATCACAGTCTTGGACTTAGCTGTAGCTGTTTTAAGCACCCAGGAACCTTTTGACTTTTTTGTGGAGAACTGAAATTTCTAAGTGATTGATTTTAAAATAAATACGATGTTACAGCATAACAACAGTTTTCTTAAATAATTGATTTCTGTGTGTGTTTTGTTTTGGTTTTTGTTTTAAATTCAAGGGTGGATATTTTAACATGAATCTGAATGAAGAAATTTTGCGAAGAGGCCTGGGTAAAACTGTTCTTGTTAAAGGATTGGATTATGATTCCAAAACTTACTGGACAATTCACAGAAAATTACTTAAAGCTGAATTAACAGCCGTAAAAAAAGGAGAAGGAATATGGAAAGAAGAATCTCAAAAAGAAAGTTATTTGGAAAAATTCAAAGAAATATTGAAAAAAGAAAATTTAAAAGCAACTGGATCAGATTTCAACTTGAAAAAAGGAAGTTATGACAGATTCAGAAGAACTTATGAAGCATGGAAAGACAGTATGAGTAACTACTCCTTAATACTGAAATTCAGAGAATTTATTAGTCGCTTACATTTTCGTAGGAAAGGGTGAGATATCCAGGAGGTCTAGAGGTGACTCTTCTCAAAAATAAAACATGGACATGGACATTTTTCAATGAGTCCACAGAAAAATTTCCGGAAATGATAAAGGTTGAATTCTAATGGTATTTAAGCATGAAAAAGATTGTGATTAGTGTAATACCAGAATTCATTTAAAGATGATGCAACATGCTTTTAGGGACAATGAAATATTATAAACAAATTGCCAGAACTGAATTTGGTGGCACATACGTGTAATTAAAGCACTCTGAGAAGAAGAGGCAGGAGCAGCAAAGTTAGATTTCAACTGGGCAATTTAGAGACTTAGTGAGACTCTGTCTCAGAATAATACAAAAAAGGACTGGGTTCAGTCCTCAGTGCTGCCTCACTCCCGCCCCTTACCAGGCTGTATTTATTTAGTATCATTGTTTGGGAAGAAAATCCAACTCTTTGGCGCTGTGTGATACTATTTTGAGCAGCTGTATTTAATTTTTGTTCAAGAATATTTGCTTTCATTATTTATAATAAAGGAATTATTTATATTCTATGTCTGAGGTCAAACTTTTCTCCCAGCTGTTTCAATGCTTGGGATTCGGGGCAGTGCCCCAGGAGGGAACAGAGCTCCTGGTGGTGCAGAAGGGCTAATTTCACCCTGTTGTTGGATGAGAACATCGCCCCGAGACAGAGAAACTGCTAAAGAAATACCTCTGGAAGGAAAGAACCAATGCCATAGTGCTGCCAGTTTGGGAACAGTCCCCTGAGGGGTCCTAGTGGACCGGGCTCCAGCTTGTGTCCCAGAATCCCAGTCCAGGAGATAAGCAGTACTGAGGGTGGAAAAGGAGCTGTCATCAGCACAGCCAACCTGAGAATCGCAGAGAAGGAGGGTGACAAGCTTTTTTTTTATAGAAAAGAACTAAGACAAGGTGTGCATAGCCAGCAGAGTGGGTAACCCTGGTCAGGTTGAGGTCTGGTTGGCCTCTCGGGACTGGGTCTGAGTTCTGCCAGAACTCATCACGTGAGGGGAAAACCTGGCCCCTCCCTTGGGATGCAGCTCTGGTTCTTGTCTTGAGATAACTCGTCTGTGACTTCTGCTTTCCCTAGAGACAGATGTAACTGCAGGTTCAGGACAGCGACTTGAGACTTTTGGATGTTCCTACAAATCCTGGAAACTACATAGTTAAGCTCGTCTCCATATCCTTGTCTTGAAGGAGATGAGACAGATTAGGTAAACTAGATCTAATAAACCTTTACCACAGACAGTGATTAACATGATTGTGTGAAGCTGAGCAGGACCTGACCCAGAGTTTAAGGTGATTAGAGAGGATGCAGATAAGGCAAAGAGGCCAGACTTCGTCCCTCTCTTTGTTACCCCCTGGTCCTCTGCAGGCACAGCCCCTAGGTCCATGTTACTTTAGGACATCTCTCAGTCCCTGAAGTAGCCAGTATTTGAACTTCTACTGAGCTGTAGCCCTAGCCCTCTCTATTTATTTATTTATTTATGGGTTTGTTTGTTTGTTTGTTTGTTTTTGAGACAGGGTCTCACTGTGTATTGCAGGCTGCATTTGAACTCACAGCAGTCCTACCTAAGCCTTCTGAGTGCTGGGATTATAGGTAAGTGCCACCATACCCGGCTTCAGTTTCTTTTTATGAGACTGTAATGTTTTAAGCAAATTTGAGTTGGCTCAAGAATTTGATATGCACATAAACTTGGTGCTCAAATCATTCTGACACTAAACTTTTTGATAAGGCACTAATCCACTAACAATTACAAAATCTATAGAAGTTTTTTTAAAAAATGACTCATTGGTAGGTTTGGTTTCATTTATCTGTAATCATAGCACTTGAGAAGCTGAGGCACAACAGTCACAAGTTTGAGCCTGGTCTAGATAGTTAGGGAAGGTTGGACTGTATAATGAGACCAGGACTCAAAAAAAAAAAAAAATTGTGTTACTAAGGAAAGTCAAACTTACTGGGTTCAGGTAGATGATTCTTGTTAGAGTCCCATAGTATAGGATGAGTTTACTGCTGTTACCTGACTCCTTGTTAAAATAACAGAAGTAGGTATGCTGGTGCACTTATGTAAGCCTAGTACTTGGGAGGCTGAGGCAGGAGGATCACAGTTTGAGGGCAGCCTAGTTTACATAGTTCAAGGCCAGCCTGATCTATATAGCGAGACTCTGTCTTAAACATCAGGACTCTTCAAAGTTTAGAAATTAAACAGTACTAATTTTCAATGAGTTTATAAACATGCAAATTTACAAAATACAAATACACAAAAGTTTTGTATGTGAATATGGTTTTATATTTTTATCTTTCTTTGTGGTAGGAAAGGAAGTTATATCTTACTTTTAATTTCTGAGTTCCAATGCCACAATACCTTCTTTTTTGTTAAAGGGATGTTTTATTGATATTTACAGGGAAGTGAGCAACATACATTTTAAAAACTTATTGGAATATTTTAGATATACATAATACTTGTACATACACATATACCTGTGTTTGATATATCTTGCTTTTTCCCCATTCCTCTTCCCTCCCTTTAAACCCTTTTCCCCTCCTTACTTACAAAAACTTTGTTTCTATTTGTTCCCTAATGCTCTTTTTTTTCTTGTCTTTTCCATCCTTCCCTCCCTGTCCCTTGTTTCCTTCCCATTTCCCAATACCCATTACACATTTTGGTCTTTATTTACACTTTTAGTTTCTCACATCAGAGAAGCAATGAGGTATTTAAACATGTGTCTGATTTATTTCATGTAAGAGTGAGGTTCTAAAGTACACCCATTTAGCTAGAAATGTCTCAAGTTTATCCTTCTTAATGGCTGAGTAGTACTCCATTGTATTTAAAAAACACATCTTCTTTATCAGTTCATCAGTTGATGGACATTTGAGTTGTTTCCAAGATTTAGTTATTATAAACTGTACCGTTATAAACATGGTTGTGCATATATCTTTTGGTATGATGCTTTTAATTTGGGGTGGGGGAGATACCAAAGAGAAATAGCTGGATCAAATGGGACCTCTAATCCTAGGTTTTTGAGGAATTTCCACCCTAATTTCCACAGTGGTTGAACCAGTTTACACTCCGACCAAGACTGGAAAAGAGTTCCTTTTTCCCCACGACTCTCCAGCATTTGTTCATTGATTTCTTGATGATACCTATACTTTCTTTTTTTTTTTTTTCCCTAGATTTTTTTTTGTCTTTTTCTTTTTTATCAGTACCAGGGATTGAACTCACAGCCACACACTTGCAAGGCAGGTGCTTATGCTGCTGAGCTAAATCCCCAGCTCCATACCTATACTTTCTGGGACAAGATAAAATCTCAGTGTTGTTTTAATTTGCATCTGTCAAATGACCTGAGAGATTTTTTTGCCAGTACCTATACCTTTTTAAAAAATCACAATAGTTTTATAGCATAATTTCTAGTCAAGGATTTCAATACCCTTGCCTTATCTTTATAGCTGAGAATTGTTTTTGCTATTCTAGGTCTCTTCTGGTTCCAAATGAATTTTAGGATGTTTTTCTCTGATTCTCTGAGATATGCTATTGGTATTTTAACTGGAATTGCATTAAATCTGTATAAGAATTTTTGTTTGTTTATTTTTGGAGAGAGTGTCTCACTGTATAGTTCACTGGCCTTCCACTCACAGCAATCGTGCTGCTTCAGCCTTATGGGTACCTGCATAACAGGTGTGTGCCACCTCCACCTCACCTGGTGACATTTTTGGAAGTATGGCCATTTTCATTTGTGGGTTCTTCCTACCCAAGAACAAGGAATATCTATTTTCTGATACTTTCTTCAATATCCCTTTTCAGAGCAGTGCAGTTTTCAATGTAAAGATCTTTTCTTCAGTAGGTTGATTTCTAGGTATTTCATCTTTTGGGATTCTATTGTGAAAGGTGGTGTTTCCGTTATTTCTCTCTCAGTGAGTTTATTTGTGTTACATGAATTCTACTGATTTTTGAGTGTTGACTTTGTACCCTACTATACTACTGAATTTGTTTATTAAATCTAAGAGTCTTCTGGTGGGGTTCTGGTGGGGTCTTCTATGTAGAGTATCATATCATCTACAAGTAATGATAATTTACCATTTTCCTTTCTTATCCTTATTCCTTTTGTTCCTTTCTCTTATCTAATTGCTCTGGCTATGTTCCATATATTGAATAAGAGTAGTGTTAGTATCTGTCCTTGTCTTCTTTCTTATTTTAAAGTGAAAGTTTTCAGTTTTTGTCTATTTAATGAGATGTTGGCTGTTGGTTTGCCACAGATGGCTTTTATCAGATTGAGATAAAGACCATCTATTCCAGTTTTCTATAGGGTTTTAATCATGAATGGATGTTGGACTTTGTCAAGTGCTTTTTCTGCACCTGTTGAGATTATCATATGGTTTTTGCCCTTGGTTCTATTAATATGGTGTATTATACTTATTGATTTGTCTATGTTGAACCATCCCTGCATCCCTGGGATGAATCCTAGTTGGTCATAGTGTATAATCTTCTTGATGACTTGCTGTAGTCCTCTTATTGAGGATTTTTGCATCTATGTTCTTGAGGGAAATTGGCCTGTATTTTTTTTTTTGTCTGGGTCTTTCTCTGGTTTTTGTATGAGGATAATGCTTGTTTCCAGGAATAATTTGGGCTATATTGCTCCCCTTTAAGTTTCATTAAAGTGTTTGAGAAGTAGTGTCATTAGGTCTTTTCTAAATTTCTTGTAGAATTCAGCTTTTCTTTGTTGGTACATCTTCAATTTCAATAACTAATACTGGTTTTTTTAGAATTTTTATATCTTCTTCTTTTTTTTTTATTAGTACCGGGGATTGAACTCACGACCACGCGCTTGCAAGGCAGGCGCTTATGCCACTGAGCTAAATCCCCAGCCCTAGAATTTTTATATCTTCTTGATTCAGCTTTGTTAATTCATATGTATCTAGAAACCTGTCCATTCCTTCTGAGTTACTCTTAGAGTACAGGTTCCCAAGTAAGTATTGATGTTATGCCGAATTTCATGCTTTTCATTCCTAATTATGTAGATTTGAATCTTTTCTCCCCTGCCTCTTTTTGGGTAAGGTCAGCTAAGAATTTGTCCATTTTATTTAATCTTCAATGAACCAACTCTTCGATTCATTGATTCTTTGTATTATTAATCTTGATTTATTGATTTTTTGTATTATTAGTCTCCATTGAATTAATTTCTGCTGCCATCTTTGTAATTTCTTCCCTCATAAGAGCTTTGGACTTGACTTGCATGTCTTTTTCTGGAAGGTTGATGTTCAACATTAGATTGTTTATTTGAGTTTGCTCTGTCTTTCTGATATGATAATTCACCACTGTAAGCTTCCTTTATGGAACTGCTTCCATTGAATGTTGTACTGGCATCATTGTTGAACTGTAGAAATCGTCTAATTTGTTCTTTAACTTTATCTGTGACCTAGTGGTTGTTCAGGAGAGTTTTATTTAATTTCTATGTGTTTACACAGTTTTGGTAGTTCCTTTTGCCATTGATTTCCAATTTCATTGCACTACAGTTTGCTAAAATGCATGGGATACTTTGAATTTCTTTATATTTATTTAAGTATGTTTTATGAGCTAGTATATAGTCTGTTTTGGAGAATGTCCTGTGTGCAGCTAAGAAGAATGTATATTCTGATGTTGTGGGATGAGACACTCTGGACATGTACTAGGTCCATGTATTCAAAAGTTTGGTTCAGTCCTGATTTTTCTTTATTGGTTTTTTGTTTTGTTGATCTATTCGTGACAGTGGGGCATTGAGGTTTCCTGTTACAATTGTAGTAGTGCTTATTTGATTTGTCATGTCCATTAATGTTTATTTTATGTAGTTGGGGGTGCTGGTCCTTGGTACATATATTTTTATGACTGTTATCTCTTCTTTTTAGATTGTTCTCTTTTCAAGGCTATAGTGACCCTCTTTATTTCTCCCAATAGTCTTGGCTTGAAATGCACTTTGCAAATAGAATAGCAACCCCTGCTTTTTTCTGGTTTCCTGTTACACAGAGTATTGTTTTCCAATGTTTGATTTTCAGTCTATGAATTTTTAAAAAATTAAATGTGTTTCTTTTATGCAGAATACTTTGGATCTAGTTTATTAATCCCTCTGCCAGTTCACTTCTTTTTATTGGTGAATTGAGACCATTTACATTGATAGTTATAACTGATATGTATTGACTTATCCTTGTCACGTTATTTTCCTATTGTTGTTTTCCTTTTATTCCAACTCTGTTTAATTACTTGCCTTGCCTAGAGGAGTCATTCTTTTGGGATTCATGGAGTTGTAGTCCTCATTACCTCCTCTAAATGTTCCCCAGAACATTCTGGTTTGGTGGTCATGAATTTCTTCATGTGTTCTTTGTCCTACAAGTATCTTATTTCTCATCAATTTTGAAAGATAGCTTTGAGGGGTACATCAGTCTGTTTTGGAGGTTGTTTTCTTTTAGAGCTTGAAATACTTTACTCCAAGCTCTTCTTGACTTGAAGGTTTATGTTGAATAATCACTGCTGTGATTCTGATGGGCTTTCTTTTATAGGTGATTTGTTTCTTTGCTTTAATAGCTTTTAATATTCGGTTCTTGTGTTGAATTTGTGGAATCTTGACTATTACATGCCCTGGTATAGTATAGATTTTTTTTTTTTTAAATCATGGCTAATTGGAGTTCTATAGGCTTCATTTGTTTGTATATCAAAATTATATTTCCATGCTTAGGAAGTTTTCCATGATTACTTCTGTGAACATGTTTTTTATGTCATTTGCAAGTGTCTGCTTTTAGATTGACTCTGATCAATCTTCCATTATTCTTCTTTGTATCATCTAGCACCTGTTGGATTGATTTCTCGTGGCCCCATGCTATTTTTAAGAAATCTTTTTTTTCATGGTTGCTAGTGACATCATGGTCACCAATGTCTTTTCTATGTTGGGCATTCATGGTTTCCGTCATTTTCCTAAGCTCTCTTATTTATCTGTGTCTGCTCTAGAGTCACTAACCATGTCTTTCATTATGATCACCATCTCTGTAGTTATCTGAGAGGTTATTTCTGATTTGATTTTGTTTTAGAGTCTTATTCATTGGCTTAGTTTATTCCACTGTTACCCCTTCAGAGAGTCCAGGTGGGTGGCTTTCAGATCGCTCTATCTCTTTGTCCCCTTGCTTTGTCTTTGGTGAGCTAGAAGTCTGGGGTCTCTTTCTTTTAGTTTAATTCCTGGGTTGATGCTTGTAAATTGCTTGTGGCAGGTAGCTTTATTGCTAGTTTTAGAACCCTTGGGAAATGATTACTTCTTAGAGATGTCTTTGAGGTATAGCTAGCTGGCTTTTGGGTTTTGAGTCTGTTGCAAGATCCTACCTCTTCAATTTATTGGAAATAGGAAGTTGCTGCCTATTTGCCCTGGCACCTGGTTCTTTGTGCTGGCCTAAGTATTGTTTCTAACTCTAAGGCAAGCTTAGTCTTGGTATACCAGAAGAACAACTGATTAGAAAAATTATGCCGCCTTGGCTAAAGTAGTACAGTCAACAGTAACCATAGCATCAAACACAGCCTAGAAAATGTCAAACTGTGATAATCATTAATTTCCCACCTTTAACTATTTGAACTATATTTGTGGCTATCTAACAAAATCTAAAACAAACTAGAAAGTTGCATATAGTAAATATGTCCTCAATGTGGTGATTTTACCTTCAGGGGAGAAAATTTAGAAGGGGTTAGGCTGAAAAATAGAGAAATTAAGAGGAAGAAGCAAGACTGGAGGATGAAGGAAGATTATAGGAGCTTTGGGAAACTGGTGAAGAAGACAGGAGAGAAAAAAGAAACAAGAACAACAGAATAATGACAAGAAAACTAGAAACAATGTTCACACTAAACAAACAAAAAAGAAAACAAATAAGAAAAAAATGTCCACTTCAGGGTGTATTTCTGTTGTAACTGTTAGACAGAACAGGCAGAGAGAGTCTATTACTGTGTTGATTAATCCCAACAAGTCAGCTATAGATTTATCGCAGGTCACTGGATAATCCCAGCAACCCTTTGCCGTTGGGTGGTTTCTGGCCAGGAGGCCAGAACCTGATTTGTTCACGATGTAGCATTCTGTGTGCCTTCTGCTGGCTTGAATCCAGCTGCTTGACCTGATTTGAACTCTGTTCCGCTCACGCTGATACTGGAGCTGCTAACTGGAGCCAGCCTGTAGCTTTGCCGAGTTCTGAGATTAGTTGGCTACTCTCCAAGATGGCTACTGGACAGTAACCTGCTCCTGGTGGATGTCTGAATCTGAATAACTCACCTGTCACTGCTGTCTGCTGCATCCACTGCTCCGTTCCACTAGTGCATTTTTCCATGAAGACCTCTGATCCAGGAGAAAGCACTGCTCACTGCCTCCTTCTGCAATGTGGTCTCTCTCTTCACTCTCCCTCTGGGGTTCAGTTCTTACTTCAGATTCTCACTTGCTGGGTCCTGAGAACCCACATCCCTCCTTCCCTTCCTTATGTTGCTGTATTTGAACATCTGGACACCGAATCTCAGAGAGGCTGTTTCTTTGCCCTTCACCACTCTGCCATCTTCCCAGATATCCAACAGCATCCACTTTAACTAGTTTTGTGATAAGGTCTTTAGCCTTGTTCTTTTCTAGTATGGCTTTATGAATCACAAAACTCAGACCTAGGGCCCTGCCTTCCACAGTGTCAGATTTCATCACTGTAAGTAGCTCAGATGGCTTTTGCCAGCTGTGTTGTGCTGTTGTCTTTCCAGTTAATTCCAGTGAAGATGAGCTGGTACAGGTAGATCTACTTGTGACCCAGTTTTTTTTCCCTTGATAGAGTAGAGAGAGAGAGAGAGAGAGAGAGAGAGAGAGAGAGAGAGAGAGAATGTGATGGGGAATTGAACCCAGAACCTTCACACTGAGCTACATTCTTAATCTTGTTTATGTTGAGACAAACTCTTGCTAAGTTATAGCTGCACAGTTTGTAATAACCAGATTTTGGAAACAACCCAAATGTCCATCAACTGAGGAATGGATAAAAAACATATTTTATATAGTGAAATACCATGTGACCATAAAGAATGATAAACTTGACTTTTGTAGGTAAATGGCTGCAACTAGAAATCATGCTCATAATTGAATAAAATCAGACTTTCATGTGTAAATACCATGTCTCACTAGCCTAAGAAACTAAAAGAGTAAATAAGATCCAAAAGTTACAATAGATACAGTAAAAGAAACTGCTCAAAGGGAAATTATTGTTTGATCAATCTGACGTGCCTGTATCTGGTAACCTGAGCAACTATTTTGAAGATAACAATATGTAATATAACAGCCATTATTTTTTTTTTTGTCTTTTTCCTTTTTATCAGTACTGGGGATCGAGCTCACAACTGTCTGCTTGCAAGGCAGGTGCTTATGCCGCTGAGCTAAACCTCCAGCCCCAACAGCCATTATTAAATTCCTATCATTTATTTTGAAATCCTGTATCACTTTTGGGTTTTTTGTTATTATTGTTTTCATTTGGTTTTTAATTGTTTGTTTCTTGATTTTTGTGTTTTTTTCTTTTTAAATTAAAATTTAAAAAGATCTTGCTAAGTCCAAAATGGGCTTTAATTTTGCATCCTCCTGTATGAGCCTCCCAGAGTACTGGGATTACATGCCACTACCCAGCACACATGGAATCTATTTTGTGGACAAGATGAACAAGAAGAAATATGGAGGAAGGGATTCTAGTCAGTGCAGAGAGCATTTGCTGACCTCTTATTCTCCACTTTAGTAGTGGCAGTATTGACACCATTTTAAAAAAATTGGTGCTGAGAATTAAACCCAGTGCCTTTGCACTGAGCTACATCCCCAGCCCTTTAGAAATATATTTTACTTTGAAAACAAATCTAACCAAGTTGCTAATTTGCAGTGCACCTGCCTCAACCTCCCAGAGAGCTATGATTACAGATGTGTGCCACCATACCTGGTTTTTAGCACCTCTTGGAAGGTCCTGTGGTCTCTGAGTGGAGAAATCCCACTGATCAGCAGCTTTGTTTCTGGGCTCAGAACATCTGCTTTTTGGCTTTATCGTGGTCTGTTTTATAGAACATGTTGTCGGGTGGCCCCCAGGTAAGATGAATTGGATAGGCCGGCTGTGGTGTTACACACCTATAATCCCACACTCGGAGTCTGAGGTAAGAGTGAGACTGTGTCAGAAAACAAAATGAAACAGAACAAAACCAAAAAGATGAACTGGATAATTGCACAGACATTGGGTAGTGGTGTCTGGAGATGATTATAACAGGGCTATTTGCAAAAGTCTCTTTGGGGCTGGGTCTCTGACTAATGTTCATGTGTGTTGCCTTTCTCAAATAGCTTTACTACTTCTTGGTCCTATTGGGCCTCAGTATCTGATACTGTGGCACCTTGGCATACTGAGTATCTTAAGCTGAGGGAAGCTGAGACACCCAAAGAACCGTCTCCTCCCTTTCCTCCCTTGAGGTAGGCTATAAAAAAATTCTCTGACTGGGGCTGGGGATTTAGCTCAGCGGCATAAGCGCCTGCCTTGCAAGCGGGCAGTTGTGAGTTCAATCCCCGGTACTGATAAAAAGGAAAAAGATTAAAAAAAAAAAAATTCTCTGACCTGTTTTCCCTGAAAGCAGACCAAAAGCCCCTCTGTACAGAGTTCTGCCCTGTACCCAGAGGCTAACAGGAATCTGGACAAACAGGCCTTGGTCAGCTTCTCCCTGTTTAGCACTGTCAGATCATAACCTTTCCCCTCCAATTGCACTTCCGTATTCTTGTCCATAGAAGTACATAATTTCCCTGGAGTCTTTGGATTGCCATTTGTAAATGCTCTTGTGTCATATAAACATTAAATTTGTCATGCTTTTCTCCTATTAATCTGTCTTGTTATTATAGGGATCAGCCACAAACCTTGTAATAGGTGAGGAAGAAATACCAGTTTTTCTCCCCTATGCTTTACTATCTTTGCATCAACAGGGCCTGCAGCTACCTTTTCTGCCCCGGTGTTCTTATAGTGTCCATCATCTACACTTCTCCTTGTTGCTTTTTGTGTGTGTGTGTGACAGTATCTTGTAATGCCTAAGCTGTTCTCAAATTCCTGGGCTCAAGCGATTTTCCTGCCTCAGTTTCTTTGAGTATTTAGGATTACCGGTGTATGCCAACACACCAAGTTGACTTCTTTACTTTTTAAAATTTTTTTATTTTTATTTTTAGTGTCCAGAGATCAAATTCATGACCTCAAACTTTCCAGACAGGCACTTATGCTGCTGAGCTAAATCCCTGGCCCTGACCTCTGTACTTTTAAAATATATTTTTAACAAATGAATTTACTATTCTCTTTATTTTTAAAGGATTGGATTTTTTTGCCTTTTACATTTTTTTATTACTATTTCCTTTTGGGGATTTTGGTTTTTCAATCTTTCTTATACATAGAATTAACAACAACAACAGCTTTATCAAAACTAATGGTGAGCAGCACTTGGAAGAAGAAAAAGTACATCATACATGTGATCTTACACTATTTGGCTGCTGAAAGCATCTTCCAGCAACACCCAGAGAGGAAAACAACTAGTCTGCCTTTTTGTTTATTTTCTGGATGCTTCTGTGGGTCCCACTCTGAGGCAAAGTGTCCACGTGTTGTCTTTTCTTGGGTATACTCTGAGAGCTGCTTTGGGGCTCCCTATCATAATTCTCTAGTTTAGAGAGCCTTACTTAATTGCTGTACTCCATTCCAGATGCTGGACCCTAGGGAAGATGGTTGCACTAATCATTCCCTTTTTAGTAGGAGAATAGCAGTCATATTATCAATTCTGCCTTGTTTTGTCATCTGCCATGCTGTCAGTTTGACTCAGCAGAAGCTCATGTATTATTGAACAAAGTGATGGGATGTCAGCTTCTCCTCTTGCTTCACTCTTTATCAAACCTCTTTTTTCTTGTCTCAGGAGTATGAAAGACTGGCGGGCTCAATGGCCTAGTGAATTTCAGAAACAGTATAATCACTATTTGCCATCGGAGTGTGATATATGTCACCCTGTCTTGTAGAAAGAATGAAGTGCTAACGTCAAGTTGTCTTCACTGGGCATGGTGGTGTACTTCTGTAATCCCAGCTACTCTGGAGGCAGGAGGATCACAAGTTTGAACCCAGCCTGGGCAATGAAGTCTTAAAAAAGAAACGACGGGATGTACTCAATGCCGAATGCTGCTGAGGTCAATCTCCAGTATTGGAAAACCAACCAATGAACAAAAGAAAACCTAACCAAAAAACTTCTTCCTCCCTGTGAGTGGGAGAGGGAAGTAAAATGTTGCTGCTCCATAGACATTGTTTCCCTCTTTACCTTACTTTTATAACTCTTATTTCTGGTGCTGGTGAAATAGTCTAAATAATCTTGAGCCATAAGAGGTAGCATGTGCTGAGGCAGGAGCATCATGCATTCCAGGCCAACCTGGGCCATCGAGCAAGCTCAAAGCCAACCTGAGGTAAATAGTGAGACCCTGTTTCAAAACACAAAAGCAAATCAGTTTTCTTTTTCCCACTAGTGGGATGGATTGGGAGTGTGCTGCCTGAAATGCCATCTTCTTTAAATTTTACTTGAAGGGAAAATAAAGCCATGGATCCCATCACTGCTCCTGTTATTTCTACTCTCTCTAGTGATTCCCTGAGTCTGGTAAAAGTCTCAGTCATTGCTTCAGCATACTTGCAAAATGTGCTTTAGGACAATTAAGTGCATCTGAGATATCCAGATAATGCTGTGCCAAAAGTTTTCTTCTCTTCTGAGTTTCTTCAGCATTTTTTGATTCCTCAACAAAGTGAGAATGTATCTTTGAGATATGAGTGTTTCCTCTGGGTCATCTAAGTCCATGTGATGTCAGGAGCCGTGCTGATGAAACCAATGTTTTTCATAAAGAGGCTACTGGTTCAGGACACCAAAAACAATGGCATTTCAAAAAGGTAGGGCTTATATTTAAAAATGCGGGTTCATTATTACTTAACCAATATCAGAAAAGATGGCAGTTTACCAAGAGAGCATCAACTGCTGCTGGGCTAGCTAATGGAGATACTTCCCTGGCTCTGTGGTTGGAGCTTCTCTGATGTGGCTCCTAAGACAGCTGTCTCAATGAAGCAAGTCATAGGGAGAAAACAGTGCAAATTGATGAAAAGAGAAGAAAATGAAAGATTCAAGGTTAAAAATTAGCTATGGCCATCCTCTGGGAGGCTGATGCAGGAAGACTGAGTGTTCAAGCCCAGCCTAGTGGACAATTTAGTGACTTGGTGAGATCCAGAATAAAAATGGTCTGGGGATGTACCTCAGTGTGAATGCCCTGGGTTCACCCTCAGTACAGAAAAAAATGGTTATGAACAGCAGAGATTATTAAAAATAAAAGTGTACAACAAACTGCAAATTATTTGGAAATCTGGGATTGATGGTAAACACCTGTAGTCCCAGGTACTCAGTAGGCTGAGGCAGAAAGATTTAGAATTCTAGGCCAGACTTGGAAAATTACTGAGAACTGGTCTCAGAAAAAAAAAAATACAACTGGGGTTCTAGCTCAAAGGTTCCTGTGTTTAATCCACCAAGGAAAACAAAAACTCTCTACTGAAATATGTATAGATTATTTTTGTTTCCTCCAAAGCAGTATAATATAGCAAGGTTTTGCAAAGCATGTACATTGTATAAGGTATTATAAATAAAGCAGATATGTGCTGAAGAATGTGCTGTGTTAGTCACTTTCTCGTTGCTGGGGCACATGCCCAGTGCCCACAAGTTAAAAGAGGAGAGATTTAACTTAGCTCATAATTTCAGGATTATGGTTGGTACATGGTTGGTAGGTTCCATGGCAGGAATATCATACTAGAAAGACTTAGAATGCAAAACTTCTTAGTTCATGGTGGCTGGGAAGCAGAATCACCAGGGAGGGAACAAAGGCCAGATACAGAATCCAATGTCTTACTTTCATGACTGCTGCCCCAGACACAGCCACGAATGTTCTCCACCAGTCCCTTGGCTGGATGTCAAACAATCAAGTTTGTACTGTCAAGTGTCACCATTTTATATATGGAACTTGAGCCAGGAGTCATGATGCATGTCTGTAATCATAATATGCTAGGAGGCTGGGGCCAGATGATCACAAATTTAAACCCAGCTTGGGCAGTGTACCCACTTACCAAGACCCTGATTCAGAGTGATGGAGGAAGAGGCCAGGAATGCTCCTCAGGGCAGAGGACCTAGGTTCAATCCCTGGTACCCACACACATACAAAACTGAGCAACCACACATTTTGGTGTCCTACAACAAACTCTGTGAGGATACTGAGGGATGAGTGTCTCGCTGTTCTGAGATGGCAATGAGCTGATTCACTTCACTGCCATTCCTCCCATTAAAATTACTTCTGAATTCCATAAATATTTAAATGGACAACTGTAGCAATGGAATGTGAGAAGGTACCATTAATTTTAAGGCTATTCTAAAGTTTTGTAAACTATGAAGAAATAGAATTGGATTAAAGTCAGTAACTCTGGCGTTCAGTATTCTTCCCCCCAAAAGCTGAGGTTTTCTAGGAAGTAGAACATGGGATTATGCAATAAAGTTCCAAGAAATCATCCTCTTTTTGGCATCTCTTGAGTGATGTAACTCCTTTTGGTGTTTCAGAGGTTGTTCCTTCTGATTTGGAAGCCTCCAACCAAATGGCAATACATCTAGTACATAACATGAGAGAAAGTAGGACGTGAGTACTTCATGCCTTTTGTATTATCCTGCTGGACAGGAATGATGATAATTCCCAGTCCTGGCAGTGTGTTTGTTGTTCAATCTGAGTCCTAAGTATCTTCCTGAAAAAGTTACAGACATCATACTATGATGATACATACACACTTATGTTTAAAACAACATAATTCATGCTAATTAAATTTTAGTTGTGGCCTGTATGTCCATCAACAAATGAACAGATATAGGAAATGTAGTATTTACACACAATGGAGTACTACTCTGCCATAAAGAAAGAGAAGTGAGTCATTTGGAGGAAAATGGATATACCGTGAGACCATAATGTTAAGTTACATCAGTCAGACACAGAAAGTTAACTATCACATGATTACTTTTATATGGGAAACCCAAAATATAAATAAAGAGCAAAGTAAAAGATAATAGGAATTAGGGAGAGAGATCTTTTTCAAAAGGGAAGT